CGAGGCTGGGATGTAATAGGAGTCCAATCCGAGGCTGATATGTAATAGGAGTCCAATTCGAGGCTGAGATGTAATAAGTGTCCAATCCGAGGCTGAGATGTAATACGAGTCCCGAATCCGAGGCTGAGATGTAATCCGAGCTAGGCTGACATGTAATACGAATCCAATCCGAGGCCGAGAGCAAAATAGGAAAATTCGTCGAGAATAGGCAGTGTATTCTACTTAAGAGCATGGAATATCATAAATAAAAATAAGAGTAGAAAGTTTAATCGAAATTTATTTGTGATTTTGCTACCGTTAGGGGAAAAGAGAGGATTTTAGTAGAAATGACCTCCCCCGGAAATGATTCTGAATCTCAATCAATCTCAATCCGACGCTGCCAATCCGACGCCAGCTTCACTTTGGTCCAATTTCGTGTCTTTTGAATCTTTTCTTCCAATATGCCAGCAATTTCTTTTCGGGACAAATCAGCAAAGCCAGACRCTGCCATTTTACGAGTCAGATAGCGAAGCTTTCAACAATCATACGTCATGCATATCGTCACGCCACCTTCTATCACATGCTGTTCACGTGCAAAGAAGGGCGCCGGTAAACATTGCCGTGTAACAGTGAACTGTTACCCTCTGACGTCATAGATTTTGCAATGTTGTCTGCCCAGAAACTTTTGGCGGGAAACAGTTTCAGTGTTGGATGTAATTTGACCACGAATAATCAACCAATGAGAGTGCGAGCATTAGAGGAAAACATTCCAGCTATATAACAATCCCCGATATTCACTTTGCCATTGGCGTATCATCGTTAAATTTTTTCATACTTGTTGTTGACGGATTTCGCAGAATAAATGTTTGAAAAATCTCAGTTCTGCAAGAGAAAAATCTAATAACCTACTAGTCTTACTTGCTAGTGACCTAATATTTCAATGCCAATATGCATCACAATTCAAATTGTTATTCACTATTCACTTTATCTTAATCAAAACGAATGCTAGGCCCTAAACAGGCATAACAAGTGTCAAAATATAATGCACTTTAAAAGCAAATTTTCACTTTTGAGACACTGAGTAAAACTATCAAAGCACACTTTTAGTTTTTTCACCTACGAAGAATTTACTCTAGAGAGGGTGGGGGGAGAGTAGTCGGTGGTCCTTAAAGACCCATTGCCACTTACCGTGATGCACCGCGGTCACAGATGAATTTCGTGGTCCATGAAATTCGAAGATTCATATATTGAATAATAACTTCATATTAAATCCTTTTCCGACATAGCACTAAGGCACAATAATGATTCTTTTACATTCTTTTACGGCTTTAGGGACTATCTAAGAGTTTATTCAAAAGGTTGGAATCGTTTTTTCAGTGGTGACACGATTCAAAATGTAAACAAATTGTGATGCATCACGGTAAGTGGCAATGGGTCTTTAAGAGTTAAAACTATTTCCTTTGTGAAGTTGCGACTAAAAAGGCATTCAGTGCGTTTTATGCCTCCTTATCTCTTTGATGTTTATCATAGGGCAAAATTACTTGATGCTGATTGGCTAACGAAGGAGGGCTTTTTTCCGTAATTGGGGACCGAAACTGTAAACTTTTCTCTTCCAAAATTGCTTCCCGTTTTGCATTGGGAGACAAAGAACAATAAGAAAACTAAAAAGTTTAAGCGAAAATGAGAACACTAAAAAGAGTACAGGTGTCTGGATAAATGTTTTACGTAAATGGGCCTCGAAAAGGCTACAGTCAAGAAGTCCCAAATGTGTACAACTTCACCAGCTGCAATGTAATAATAATAATAATAATAATAATACTTTATTTCTTAAAAACGCATTTCAAAAACTCAATACTTTTTACAAGAAGCTATATCATAATAAAAAAGAAATAATAATAATAATAATATTAATAATAAAAAATGTATATATATAAGAGATATACAATATAACATTAATTCTATCACATGACAGGAAGTCAGGTGATCCCATGAGATAGCACAGCGCTTGCGCAAGTCATTGCACGGATTGCGTTCAAAGCAAGTTGTTCTTATAATTTTTGTTAAAGTCTTCAAACGATTCTGGATTAGTCTAACGCAGTTAGTCTAGCAAGAAATCCAGCTGGGATCAACGTAGTTGATACCTAAACGT